CCATCCCCTGCTACCTCTCTGGATTGGCCCTTCCCATCCGAACCTCTAACTGCAGCTTCAGCCTTCACTAAGGGACACACATCCTATCCTGTCATGTTACTCTGAATTGTCCCCATTCTAGTTTTAATGATCTTATAGGAATACAACATAAACACAGATTTTTTTTTTATGCTTTCTTTTGCAAAACAGAAATCTTTACCCCAATCCTAACGCTAGTCTCGGAACTGAACCTTCTCAGTCCATCCCTGCCACCCCCAGCCATGTCCCATTTCTGGGAAATGACTGCAAGAAATGAAGAAATTCAATGAGATCTTGCAGCATCTGTGTGGAGAAAGGCTGGGATTACTTTGGGAAAGGACAGTGTTCAGCTGTAAGGAGTTGGTGATTTTTGGGCCCATGACGGAGCCAGGATTACAATTAGAGCTGAAATTCACCAGCAATGCTGAGACCAATGAGTATCTTAGAGACTGCGAGGTGCACAGTGCTAGGTAAGAGCTTCTGCTGTGAGGGATGAGTGATGCACGCAAGATTTGGTAGGCTGCATCTAGCAGAGGATGGTTAATATTCAAGCTAGTGTTACAGAGGAAATGAGCTGAGAAGGAATTTTGCTGATTGTTGAGATTTGCAAATCCTAACACCAGGAGCAGCCAGTTATCTTAACTGGATGTGGTGGTTGAACCCTAGCTGCAACTAAGTTCCACACAGCTGCTCACTCACTTCCCCTCAGTGGGATGGGAGGGAGAACTGAAAGAGTAAAAGTGAGAAAACTCATGGGTTGAGCCATCTTCAGGAAACCCCAGCTCCATCACATCTAATGGTGATTTAGGAAGTCAAACACCACCTCTCTGAACGTTCCTCTGTTTCCTCCTCCTTCCCCCAACTCTATATGCTGAGCATGACGCCATATGGTATGCAATATTCCTTTGGATACTTGGGGTCAGCTGTGTCCCCCCTCAACTTGTTGTGCACCCCCAGTCTGCTTGCTGGGAGGTCGGTGTGAGGAGCAGAAAAGGTCTTGGCTCTGCGTAAGCCCTACTCAGCAGTAACTAAAACATCTCTGTGTTATCATCACTGTTTTCAGAACATTTGAAGTATGGGATGAGAGGCCAGTGCCAGGGATGTGGAGTTGTATCTTATAGAGATGCTCGGTATTATAAATTGGGGGATCAACACTAGGAATTGAAAATGACTTTTTGTCATTTATTATCCATGCTGGAACTGTTTTAGGTAGTAGATTGTATTGCAGATTGTAGATCCTTGGTTTTCAGCAATAGGTGTCTTTTTAAATGAGACTGGACATGCTCCTTTCCCCAAGGGAGAGTGGGAAATCAGCTGAAGTCATGTAGAGACATGAGACGTGGCTACAGTGGTGAATTCTGGGTACGTGAGCTTGAAAGAAACTTGGATTACAGAGCACTAGGTAAAGTGCCAGGATTTCAGCAGGGAGGCAACCTCTGTGGAAGGCAACCAGAGAAACAGGCAGGATGGTTCAAGCATAAGGCACTACAGTGTGGGATCACAGCTGAAGTGCTCGAAGTGATATAATTAACTTGAAAGGGGGATGCAGCTGCATAAACTTCACATCCATACTTGCTCTAGAGAAGGAGCAAGCTCCTGTGGTTGAAGTATAATAAGAAGATCCCTTCTGAGTTTGGCTGCACAAAGTGTGCACACAGAGGTCCAAAAAGCAGCTTTTTTATATATGAGGATGCTCGTAACTCTTTTTCTCATCCAGCTATGCGTACTTCCATACCCTGTGGAAAGATGTAACAAAATTATAATGTCAACAGTCATGAGAGTACTTGTTTCTTTTCTTTGTGATTGCACACGGAGCCCAAAGTCAGACAGGCCGTGTAAGCCACACCCCCTGGAGACCTGCAATCATAGCTGCTCCTCCTGAGTCAGCCGGCATGGTGCCAGGCTTACCACTGTTCTGCCAGAAATACACTAAATACAGCATACAGGATGAGTGCAGATACCCCACAGAGAGAGTAAAATGAGGCTTTACCCTAATCTGGGGTAAAGTACCATATTACTAACAGCAGAAACAGGCACCATCCGGGGATGGTGAAGGGTCCTCTAAAGCATAGAGCGAAAGTGCAGCAGAGAAGCAAGCAGAAGGACAAATTTTAAACACTGTGGAACTTCAGAAAGTGCAGAAGCCCTGTCACAGGTAAGACAATGTTAGTATTGGACCGTGACTTCTGAAACGCAACTTCAGACCATCCTCTTGAATTTGGTTACCCCACCCAGAGGTGTCGATATTTCACCGCTCAGTGAGACATGCTGGCATTGCAAGAACATGTTCAGACATAAAAATGCAAATCAACTCACCTCATTAAATTCTACATAGGGGATGCATACATATGTGCTGTATGACAGTTACTTTTTTTCCTTTTTTGTGTTTTTAACTAACCATTTGCAGAGAGCAAGACAAATTCTTCCAGCTTTTTAATTGATCTCAGAGCATGTTATGGTTTAATTCTTTGCTCTGAGAAAAAATAGCAGTGCTGTGGCCCAAGAAAAGACAGCTGCTGCTTACACAGGAGCTTAATGCATTTGAATACCTTGTGTATTAGAAACTATATAAAATTTTTCAGTATTATTTCTTTAAAATTTACTCATGGAAAGTGATATTTTCACAAATACCTTGTTACTTTTTGGGCATTTTTACCCTTTTATCAGTGAAGGTTTCTGCCCATGAGGGACAATTTTTTTTAAATCATATTTCCTTCATTTTATTTTAGCCAGAAAGTCCTTGGGTCCACACTAACGGTGAAAAAAAAAAAGTTTCAGGCTTTTTTCCAGGAAAATTCATTTCCTGCAATTTTTTTTTAAACAAAAGTAAATATTGTATGAGCCTCTCTCTGAAATCCCATATCATGCAGAGTGGGAGGAGGACATGCCAATATACTTGTTTCAGCAGCTGAAGGAGTTCATGCTGCCCCTGCCCCTACTCCTCGTAGACCAGAGTATAAATTAATTCAAAAGTTTAAAGGTACTTATCTTTTAAAAAGTATCCACAGGATGACATGCTGAGATCTACAAGGGTTCAACGTTAAACCATTTTTGTGCAAACTAACCTACTCCCTTCATAAGTGTATTTGCCATCAAGAACATGCACTATTTCCATTAGCACATGTAGGGAGACTGACATCTGTGTTCATGGATTTGGAAGTATAGAAAATGAGCATAAACTATTTTTCAGGTCCATGCTGGATACTTAGAATGAATTATTGTCCTTAGGCTTAGTTAGAAATGTACTGTTTCTATGTATATAGCCATACCAACTCTGTTTCTCTTGAAAAATATATTATGACAGAGATTCCCACATAAACCAAGAGCAGGAAGGTCTCCTAGGGTGCCTTTGAAGGTCTTCCCCACAGAAGTTTTTCTTCAAAAGTTGGCCGAGTTCAGACATTCCAAAGTTGCAGATTATTCTTTTGAAGTTCCCCAGGAAGCTTTGTTGCTGTGTGGCCTCAGGACACTTCTGCTATTTGTTTTCCTTTGACTTGATCAGAAAAAAATAAACCAGGTGGTACCAGGAAACCAAAACAATCTACATAACATCTTCCACAAGAGGGTGCAGTTGCATTTTGTTAAATCCAGAGCCAACCGCAATTAATAAATGGATTGCAGCGACAGCTGCCAGACTGCCTACAGAAATTACTAACAAAACAATTATAGAAAAAAAATCAAGAGCGGTGAAAGATGGGAAAATTATGTTGAAACACATTGAATGTATTAATAAACAGCAGTGTCAAGTGATGTTCACTAAAAACCTATCCTTTCAAACCTCATCAGGATCCGTTTGTAATTTGGTTTCTTTGAGCCAGTGAAGGGCCACAAGTGCTCCAAGGGGAAGCCTTCAGCTATGAAATGCACTCTCACATTTTAATTTGACTTCCCAGACATTCCCAGAAACATCACACAACAAATAGAGCATTTTTGATTTTAAGCAGTTAAATCTGCAATGATCCTGGGCCCTTCAATAGCTCACCCCGCATTCCCTGGGGTGTCATGAAGCTCAGAAGTGTTAGTGGCCATTTTGCATGTTGGACTAGCAAAGGTTGTTTATATTACTGTACTTTTTATTATGAAAGCACCTAACAGACCTGTCATAAGGTCTAGCATCTCATTGTGAAAACTGTACACACAAAGAACATAAAAAATTTTATATTCCTGCAAGAACCAGGTGAAAGTTCATATAACTTAGCTGACCAAATGATCCATGTGCCAACAGGCATGATGCCAACAGTCATCTTCAAATACCCATCAACCTCTGTATTTTGTTTGTTGCTCTGCTCTCCTTGCTCATTGGTCCCATAAGCCTGTGCTGTGCAAAGATCTGCAATCCCCATCTCTTAGTGCCTTCTATCCATAAGGGACACTTTGGCCTGGCACCAGAGATAGGGTTCAAATGTGGGTGAAACCTCAGAGGTGGTGATAGATATTTAGAGTGCTTGATGCTGGCTGGTCTGTTGGTCACTTCTGCTCTTAAACTTAGTGAATCACCTGTTTATTGTACTCAGAAAAGCATGTGATTAACTTGGGTAATAGGAAATAACAGGCTGTGTCTCCTACCCACTCTTGACATGATGAAGCTTGTCCTGATACAGAGGAAGCCAGCACAACATTTGTCACATTTAAAGCACAAGTTGCCTTGAAAATATACACATTGAGACAGTCATCAGTTCTAGAAAGTGAGAGACTCACAGCAACTTTTACAAGGATGTAAAATGCCCTGGCAGGTTATCCTAAATAACGTATCCTAAAAATCCAGTAAGAGTATGGCATCCCATATCTTTCCCCAAAATACTTTGATGCCTCTGTTAAAAAGAGGTTTGTGTCTGGTTTTTAAAATCAAAATTAGCAGTATGCCTCTAAATATTAAATAATGATGAATTTTGTTATATGTTTCTAAAGCCAAAAGTATTTTCCTAAACATACAAACTTTTGCTTGGGAGAATGAAACTTTTTGTCAAAAAAGCAGTGTCAGTTTTTTAAAAATGCCCAGTCTTAGCAAAACAGTTGAGAAATCTCAGATGTGATTTTTTACCTCAAAGGCCCAAGCCTTTCAACAGAACTTTTTCACATTTTTAAACAGAGTTTTCAAGTGCATCTGTGAAACATCATATTTCAAATGTGTTGACACACACCAAGCTATGCTACATGAATTTCATCAGGTTATGTTTGGTGTGTATGAAATACATTTACCTTCAATAAAATTCTTATTGCTAGATTGGAGCAGTCAAAAGGTTCTTCTCAGAGGACATTTTCAAATGCACTTGGTTTTGGCTTGACTACTTCCCTCTATTGCTGGTCCAGAATTCTGTTCATGGTTTTTAATAGAAAAGTGGTTTCTGTAATATTTTTTCCACAGGAAAAAGTTGGTTGTGCCAAAACAATGTAATGTCCCTTTGGGAAAATAAAAAAAAGAATCCAAAATGTTTTGAACCGTCCAAGCAAATCTAAATGTTTTTCTTCAGAATGGTTTGTTATTACTCATCATGAGTTTGTCACTGTTTAGGTCCATCATTTTCCCCCATCATCTGGGGTTTTTAAATGGATTGCATTTTCCATCAAGAACAATAGTGTCCATTCTAGCTGTTATGATGATGCATCAAAGATGTCCCAAGCCCACGTTTTAAAACGAAAATACTTTGGAACTTTCCATGTTTTACTTTTCTTCCCAATTAGAAATAAAAAAAGCAAAAATGTGGGACAATTTTGCACATACAGTCTTGATTTTCAATAGGCTCCACTTCGAAGGAAATTCTTGTTTTTTGGAAAATTCCACTTTAACCAAAAGCGAAAGGAAAAATAAGCAGAAGGAAGTAGCATGTGAGCCACACTAGTGTAATCCTTAAAGCATATTATTAACTAGCATTGCCCGTTATGAGAATTATAAATCTATCTTTTTATCATATCATTTACAATTTATTCCAAGAGAAATGAAATACCAGACATGCAAAATTATCTGGCTTCCACAAACTATTTAATGAAATGTATGAAACATAAGAAAATACTGAAATATGATGTTGCTTAAAAAAAGAATCCAAGATTTTTACATCCCCTCTAAAGTTTTACAGTTGCCTGAAACAGCAGGATCAATTACTTGCATATTCAGAGAGGGGAGAGGGTGCGGGGTGGAGAAAGGACTATTTGCCAGCTGCCTTTCTTAGGATAATTCAAAACTGATATAAATGCATGTTGGTAAAAACTGTCCTTAATAAACAAATAAACAAATAAATAAATAAATAAATTTGTCCTTTTTGTAGCTTTCAGTTCTGAATTCATGGAATGTACTTAATTCTCCTGAAACTTTATAGCAGTGGATTTTTTTCCTTTCAAAGAACATGAACAGAAAGGTTCTGATCAGCCATGATGTACCATCACCTGCTTCATCACTCGTGAAGGGGCCTCAGGTTCGGTTCTGTTCTGCTGCTTTTCTCTCCTGAAAGCCAGATACCGGAGAAGCACAGTGACAAAACATCAGGGCAAATCAGGAGTCTGCAGAACAAAGACAGGAACAACTCAAAAATAGTTTTCCTTCTCTATTCATTCCCATGTGGTTTTTAAGCAAGGGGTGAAGGAGGGAAGAGCCACTACTATTTCCCATAGTTGTTGTATGGTGGGAGGTCTGTTCCAGCTCTGCGTTCCTACTTAATTGCAAAGAAATGCTGGCTTAGTCTTTGAAGCCTTGGAGTGGAGCATCTCCAGTCTCCTTGGCTTGTGAGAGAATACAGAGTTTCTGGAAAACTCACCTTAGATCAACTAAGCTCCTACACATGCAGTGAGCCTGTGCAGAGGCTTATTTACTGTCAGGTCACATGTGGGTGTATTATTAACACCTATTGCAAAAAACGTATCCCTGACATCTATATATGAGATTTATGACATTGGAAACGACTGCATCCAGTCTGGAAGTAGAGGTGTTTCTCTACAACTTAGCTGGCAAAGTTGCCTCCTTCTAACTTGAGAAAGCAGCAGATTTTCACATTGCAAGTGTCAGAGCAGTGAGGCAGGCAATTGCCAAGAACAATCTTTGCCTCAGAAGCAGAATTTGGGTGGTTATAGGTACTGAAAACTCTTACAAACAGTACTAACAAGCATTAACCACGGAAAAGGCTACCAGTTCTGCTTTTAATAAACCCAGGCTTCTTCTACATCTTCATGTATTTTTCGGATTTTAAGAACCATTATTTCTATAAGTGCTGCCTCTCGAACAGTTGTTACCTCGGCTGCCTCATTCATGACTCTCATTCACCCCGACGCAGATTCTCAGGGAAGAATGGAAGAGACTGCGGCTGCTTGACAGGAACAAAGCGGACAGTGATAAAGAAACCAAAGGGTATTTATCTGGCGTGGGTGGGAACTGAGAAACACGAATGCAGAGCCAAGTAACTGTTAAACTTCGGGAAAACAGAGCCATTTAGCTCTTCCCTCATCTATTAATGCAATTACATTGGATTTTCCTAAATTCTGAAATTTCAGAAATTTCAGGCTGTTCTGGCTGTAGCTGAGGTAGGATAAGAAGCCAATGGTCCCCCTATGTTATTACCTCTTTCCTGATGTCAGTGAGCACAACAGAGTATATGTCACCACCTAGCAAAAGTGCATCAACATATTCTTGGGTTTTAGAAAACTGTTAGGAGACTTAAACTGAGATCATGTTGGCAGAACTGCAAAACTACGGGGGAAAAACTATAGTTGTAGTTATGCCAGCAGACCTGAGGGGACTGTAATCTACATCTGAAGGAATCGTGATAAGAAAACTAAAGACATAAAAAACACAATGGAAATAGAGGGGATGCTGAGTAAAAAAACTACACATCTGACAGATGCCCAGTTTTCTGAGAACTCTAAACAGTGCACGACATTTATGTCCACCTGCAATGGTGAACACCGCAAGAGCCAATAGCCTCATCCTGATCGAAGCTCCACTCTAAGGATTTGTTTGGCATTTCAGACTGAGGGAAAAATTTTATCCCTGGAACTATTCCCGAGGTAATAAACTTCATCACATTCATCTCTAAATTAAGAAGGAAAGTTTTCTGGTCGTCAAGGCTGTCACCAACAATTATCCTCAGGGATCCCTCTTAGGGCAGGAATAATAACCTGGCACATGAAATTCAAAAGAACTGTTAAACATTAAAATATAATAAAGAGCACTCACATAGGCCTGAGGAATTTGTTCATTTTAGTCAGGGTAGTAGCTCAGAGGAAAGGACCATACAGAGTCTCAAACAAGGCTTAACTATTGATGAGAATAAAATTTCTTTTTTTTTTTTAATTCTGTTTCACTTGGCTTTGTTTTATGAAATCATGTATAAAAGCACTGCAACAGCATGTGTATTCAACAGCAAAAATTCAGGATGCACTGGAAAAGAGGAGATTTTTGATGCAGAATCCCCAGGCAGTGCTCCCTAAATGCCATATTAACTTGGATTCTGCAGCTAGTAACATAACTAAGCATTACTCCCACTGTCATATCTTAGGTAATCAGCACAAATAAATATAACCAGTACATATACGTGCAAGCCTCCCAAAGCAAGCAGAAATTGCTCCCTTATACTGGCTACCAGATGAGGTCAGAAGTCTCTTAAAGGCTACGAATGACTCAAGCAATGATGTCCAAACCAACGTCAGTTCAGATCAGCTTTACTGCACCTACTTCTTTTGCTACTACCATTTGTCCCTTTCCATTCTGACTAAGAGTATGTGACCTGCTTTATGAGGAGGAAAGCAACATGTTCCAAATCTCTCAGAGCACAGTGGCCCAAATAAATATATTTTTTTTTCTGAGCGTGTATGATTTCACAGGTTTCAGATTTTTCAAATCTGAAATTTAAATGAAAAATAAAAAATGAACGTGCCTGTGCAAGCTTCCAAATTAAACCATGCAAAAACCAAAGATACAGGATATGTAGTTGCTGCCAAAGCAGGGTTGAATGTTAAGTGTTCACCATACATAGCACTGCCCTTGAAACAAAAGCAGTAGTTATTTTAAGTAACCATAAGCAATACTCATGTGCAATTCAAAGGAGATCGGATATAAAGAGATAAAGATTAGAGTACAGCAATACGGCTTTCATTATACAATGTAATCCAGCGTGTCTGATGTAACTGGATGTGACACAAATGTAAATAGCAACAGGTCTGGAAGTACAGGGTTTTCCAAGTTTTGGAAGTTTCCAAGTTTTCAAAGTTATGCTTTGAAAAATAACTTTTAGTAAGTTCAACAACAATCTTTGAAACAATGCTTTTAAAAAAGAACCTGCCACATTCTCACTAAAAGTAAAATATGCATAAGTAATTAGTCATGTTATGCAAGATCAAACAGAAACACTATTTGGGAAAGAACACAATATTTAATCTTGCAAATAGATGCAGGTACCAAACACAAAGATGCCGGCCATTTGGAGATGCAGATGCATTTGAAGGCAAAATGGGTATTCTGTAACAAAAAAAAAAATTTGAAGTTTAACACAAAGCTTAAATAGAATACTTGCTTCAGAATAGGAAACAATAACAGATCCATCATGCGGTGACGCAGCACTCCATTTCCTTACTGCACTACTATACTCGTATGTAATTTACACTATATCCAAGGAAGATGTTTCACTTTTAAACATCAATGATTTTATTAATAGCTTTAAGAATATTAAATAGAAATTAACATGACAAAAGCTACCCACTTATTCGACTAACACTTAGAATATTCAGATTCAAAAGAAATATATTTCAGATTAAAGAGAAACACTTATGTTTTGCTAAACTCTCCAACCTCAAAATATTGATGCCAATGCTCAAAAGTAAGCAAGCGACTAATTCTAATTCCAAGGCAAACTGCTTTTTGTAATATGATCATGCAGTACAATAAGCAATGGGAACTTGGCCCATGAATTTTAGGAGGTGCTACTATAAAATACCATTTTTTTCCATGGTCTTAAAGAGTGATAGCTAGGGTGAGGCCTTGACTACCAGACTTATTTCTCAAAATGAAGGAATTAATTTAGGTCTATCAAAACTTTTTATTTCTTTTAAAAGAAAAAATTCTTTGCAGGAGACGCTGAACCCCTACAGTATTTTTCTTTTTAATCTAATTGTTGGAAAACAATCCCATCAGGTGTTTTCAAGAATGTTTCAGTGTTTCCTGGTTACTGTCACATGTGCCATAGATTAACCTTTGGCATGTACTGTTAAAGATCTTCAGAAAATCAATCTGCCCATCTCCTTCAAAATCTCAGGATACAAGTCCTATACTCCCCAATTACAAATCACTGAACCCACATTAATGCTTGAAATATCTTGGTCTTCCTTCCTCCATCTCTATTCCTCTGTTCCCCCTTCTTTCTTTATGCTCTTACACCTGTATTCTCCCATATAACCCTAGAAATACTTTATTTGGCTTAATATATACTTGATCCTACCATACTTTTTTGGTTTTGTTCAAAGTCCACAAACACACTAAGAATTGTACAAATATAAATGACCACTTTCTTTAGAAAGTAACTCAAATATATGATAAATTTCAAAGATAGCCTATATTTAGGAAGGCATTCTTCATGTACTATTTGAACAAATCCTCAACATTAAGTTAATGCCAACTAACAATGCAACACAGATGAGGAGTTAGTGAATGCTGAGCCTGTCTGAAGGGATATTTGGGAAACTACATCCAGCAAATGGCAGCAATGAACCCCTGCCCTGGTAGCTTCTCACACCATATTCCAGCTATGCTAAAGCATGCAAGAGCAGCTCCTCCCTCCTTCCTGGGCAAGGTGAAAAATACTAATTTAAGCCAAAAGAAATAAATGGGAGGGGAAATTCCTAAAAGCAGGCACTGGCCTTGGCTGACTTGCAGCTGAGACTGGTGCCAATTTCAGCTGATGTCTCCTGAGTGAATACCAAGTGGTGTCAGTCCACCTGCACGGCTCATAGCACCCACAGCACTGCAACAGACTTGAGAGCCCACTCAGGAAAAGCAGTGCAGCAGCAGTAAGGGAGCTTTACCCAGGTAACATGTGGCAGATAGGTTGCAGGCTGGCAGACAAAAGGTAGCAAGTCACCCTGAGTCCTGTCCTGTGCAGGATTAAGCGGACTGAACCACCAGCAGTTTGATGTGTTTAAGTCACCTGTTCAACATTTCCTTATGAAAATGAGGAACACTCAGACTATCAGGGACAAGTGCATGACAATTTAAGAAGCAGCCAATTTTTCCACTGCAATGAAAGAATGTCTAGCCTGCAAGACTCCCGACTCACACCCTCATCTATTCTTTCACACCCATATGGTGTGAGTCTGAGCTTGCTGTCAATTATGGGACTGGTCAGCTCATCTTCTCCCCAGCTGCTCTGCTATTTTAATCACCCTGTGTTTGAAACTAAGCGTGATGGTCTCTCCACTACCAACCAAAGTCAGTCTTTGGTGCAACCCCAGTACTCTGGGGCAGCTGATAGCACACATACACATAAGCCAATAAGTGGAAGGCACAGTTAACAGCTCAGCCTTTCAGAAACCCATCCAATCATTACTTTTATTGGTCTTAAGGAGAGAAAGCAACAGAGAGGGGTGATAGACTGAGAATCCCAACAAACCTCTCGGTGCCACACAGGCATAGCCAGGTGCTACGAGAAAGGACTGCTATGTAATCCCATCCATCAACCCCAAACCTGAAACCCAGAAGTCAAATTACAGTGACAGCTGGCAAGGGCCAGTATGTCTCTAACTACAAAGCTTTAGCCCAGTGCTGAAAAAAAATCTTAAATGAGTAATTCTGAAACATAATGAAGATGAAGACACAATAAGGGCTCATTGTGTTTTTCATATACGCAAGTTTTACCATTGTGCTGTAAAATTAACCACGCAGCAATGCTTGCCTGTGTATACAAAACCCCACATATGATCCTGGAAGTCAAACCTTGCTCTCACTCAAGATTCCCATAAGCCCAGTTGGACAAGTGAAGAAGCCGTGGCAGACCCACAGCTCCAACCAGTCGGTAAACATTCCTGCTCAGTTAAGTAATTCATTGCCCAGGTCAATTTCTAAAACTCACTATTGCTTTCTAAATTAAAAATCAATTCATGTAACATTAGACTCCTGACTGAACAGGAAATTATAAACTCCACCACTCTAACAGGATTACAGGACAACAATTTATGGTACTGAGTCTCCAAATCTAGAACAGTTTTGCCTTTTTGTTAGCTGCTTAGTGCATTTATGGCCCTCTAAAAGTAAATACATGTATTGTATTTGCTTTATCTGAAATTTAAAAATACAAATGGCTTTACTCTGCAGCATTGCCTGCAAAATAAACTGGACATCCTGTCTCCCTTTTTTTCTTTAAACTAAACTATATTAGGTTATCATTAGTGATCAATACAATTACTATTTTATAATCAGCCTTTAAAGCAAACAGTGGCAAGAGATGTAAATGTAAATTTGACTGAGAGCTGAAAACAATAAACGATAATGTTGAATGAGAATTGCCGATATGCCCATATAAACTTCGATAACTTTGGTTCTTTAGGTTGTTTTTTTAATTTATTTTCTGTCGCTTCTTCCTGGAGTCTGCAGTTCTAAGGGTGGATGCACGTGAACCATCAAAGAAGCCCAACTTCACACAAATCCCATTTTTTACTTCCTTAAATGTGAAACGCTGACTTCTGGAACTGCGGTGAGGGGGAGACCCGTAACATAAAATAACCCGGAGTTATTGCCGCGTAATTTACGGGCTCGTTCCCTGCTTGCTCGGTATTAGGGCGACAGGTCTGTTCTGCGGTGCAGCCCCGGGCACTCTGGAGCCCCGGGCACCGCTCCCCGCCGCCGCTGCAGCGCCTCGCTCCCCCTGCAGCACCCGCACTGCCGAAGGGACGTTTTGCAGCTGTTTGACCTGAAAGAAATTAAATGTACCGAGCCTAAGGCACGTCCCACCCGGAGACGTCTGGGAGAGGAGTTTTAAAAGTTATTTTTGTTCAGCTTTCACGCACCGCGCTGAAAGGGTCCGCTGCCGAAATCTCTCAGGTTCAGCTTGTCTGCCGAGAGGCTCCTCGAGCTGACCCGCCTGGCACGGCGGGAGGAGCAACTCCCCCCGGATCTACCCCGACGAGGGTCCCCGCGACCCAGCCCCGGCTCCAGCCCGGGTAGAAAAGGCTGGGAGCGGGCGGCCGCCCTCGGCCGAGCGGCGGAGCAGGGCGAGCCCCGGCTCCCCGCCCGCCGCCCCCGCACGGCCTCGCACGCCTCCACCATGTTGTCTCGGTGCGCAGCGGCGCGGAGGAGGCACCGCCGCTGCCGCCAGCCCGGCTCCATGGGGGCCGCCCGGCTCCTCCCCGCGGCCTCCGGCTCGGGCGTGGAGCCGCTGCCCCGGCCGGGAGGCGCGGCGAGCCCGGCCCGGGCCGCATGGGGGGAAGCTCGGCACGGAGGAGGGGCCGCGCTGCCCGCCGGAGAGCACAGCCGTAGGGGCGGGGAGTCTCCTCCTCCTCCACCGCCGCCTCCTCCTCCTCCCGCAGCAAGGCTCCGGCTCCCCGCACGCACCGGAGCGCTCCGCTCCCTCCTCCCGCTCCTCGTCCCTCCTCCCTTCCCCTCCTCCCCGCTTCCCTCCCCGGGTCGCCGCGGCTCCGGGAGGAGCGGGGGGGGCCCCGCTTCCTTCCCTCCCTCCCCCCCTCCTTCTCCCACCCGCCACGCCGAGGAGAGGCAGGTGAGGCCCCGGCCGCGTCCCCGCTCCGCCGCCCCGCGGGAGCGGCGGCCGCGATGGCGGCGGCGGCGATGGAGGCACTAGGCCCCGGCCGCCCGCCCCCGGCCTCGCCCCGCCGCCGCGCCCCGGGGGCGGGGGGCGTCCGGTACCCTTGGACCCTTCTCCTCCGCAGAAACTTTCTCGGCAACTTTCTCCCGGGCCCGAGCCCCCGCCCGCGGGGCCGAGGGGTCGGGCGGGCGGGCGCCGAGCTGGGCTGGGCGGGCTGCGGGAGGCGGGCTGCGGGCGGTAAGTTTGTGGGGGGAGGCCCCCGAGTCCCCCTCCTCCGCCCGGTTCCCCTGCGGCCCTTCCCGCGGGGCGGTCGCGGGCGCTACAGGGCGGCCGCTCGTCCCCCGGCGGCGGCGCCGTTCACTGCCCGGGCTGGTGCTCGGCGTGAGCCGGTCCCGGCTCAGCTCCCGGCTCTCGGCCGGAGGATGTATAAGGGCGAAATTCAGGAAACTGGTCTGCGAGTCGCCTACAGCTTGGCCTGCGTGGATGTCTTTTCTATTAATTTCTCCCCTCATCCCTCACTGTTCCCTCTCCCTGCATCGAGCCTGGGACATGACTGCTTTACATTTCTGAGTCATTAATTTAAGTGTTCAATCATCACATTTCATCAAGCCTCCTCGTCTTCCTTACAGTTTATAAAAAAAAACGTGTTGGACACACACAGGCCCCGGTTCCTGCGGAGGCTGCGTGTAACTTTCTGCACTGTGTGGACCCGCAGGCTTGACGTGCGTAAAGTTGTATGCTCAACGCTCAGGCCCAGGGCTAGCGCGTCTTCTTCTCCATTATACTGTATTACAAGTATTATGGGGTGTCTGGTGTGCATGTGGGCATGGTCCATTGTGCACTGGGAAAACTAGGACAGAAGTATTTCCAAACCTCATGTTTTTGAGAAGGTGTATTTAGGTGTACCTGCTGGATTTACCTCTAAGCAAAGACTGGTCATTAATTAAAAATTAGGTGTGTGGGTTTACTTAAACTGGCAGAATGTTCCAAAACCAGTTTAAAAATTGGGACTGTTGACAAGGAAGATGTATTATTTTACTCTTAATAATTCATAGGCAGGTGAATGAAATTCCAGGCAAATTTTACAAGCAAAATTGACCTTTAGTCAGGGAAGCAAGATACAAAAGTTTACTTCAGAGTCTTTTGCTTTCCTCTTTGGAAAGTAAGACCTTGAAGAGGGATATCTAATAAAATAGCTTTATCAACTACACTTGCAGTATCTCTGTTGGTAGGTGGTACAGTTTTGCCATAACTATGTTTCTGCTTCACAGATGTAAGAACTGTTCCTTTCCAAACAACAAAACCTTACTCTTCCTACTCGTGTTTCTGATGCATATCTGTAAGTTTAGTTACAGGAGGTTCCTATTGAGCATAGGCATAGGGTGGAGACTGTGTGTGTTTTGCACAGCTAGGGTGTTGCGGGTAATATTGGGACAAGGTAGCATCTGTGAGGGAAACAGAAGGACAGCAGCACTGACACTGTGCTGAATTTCAAAGAAAAAGATCCAGTCATACCAGGCGTGTGAAAGGGTGACAGTAGTTGGTAGCAGCAATTGCCAGTAATTAATTATTCCACATGCGTCGTTAGCTTTATTTTCTTAGCAGGTGCAGCTCAAATGTAACTGCAAGATCTGTGTGCCTTCAGTCCCTCTAATAACTTTTCTGGCCTTTACCTGAGGTAAAGGCAGAGGTCTCCCAGGTGAGCAATTTCTACAGAATTTGTGAAAGTAGGGAAGCCAAGTAGAAGAATGCTCTTAACCTGCACACCAGAGAGTTCATGTCAATACTTACCTGAGGCTGGACACTGATGCAGGAAATGGCACCTCCCTGGTTTTGCTGATTGCAGAGCTACTGGCACAGTTTTCAATAATAATTTAATATCTGGACCCCAGTACCATAACTTTGGAATGACAGTAGTGAGACGGAGGTAGCTTTAATCTGTATTTGGTATTATAAAGGTAGATTTTCAGGGAAATATTTGTTACCCGACAACAGTTCTTTGGCTACAAAATAAATGAACAAAATTGAAAATATATTTAAATTGCTGATTATTTGAAATAGCTAGAAAAATAATAAATCTTTGGTGTGCTGCACACTGTGTAACAATTATTGAAAAACTTCACCATTTAGGCTTTTTTATCAATATTCATGCATCATATCAGAGAACTATGCTTCTGCACTAAGGGAATGTTCTTTCTTTTGAGCTTTTTATACTTCTGCAGCTTCTGAAGAATGAAATCATTGCTCTGTTTGGTCTGATAAATGATGGCTGTCATGTGACCATGATGCGAAAGTCTTCAGTGTGGCACATGTCAGTTTATGTGGTCAAAGTTTACTTTGTGAAGAAACTAACTGCATGTTTTTACTTTTCTTATATGTGCTGCCTTTGGACAAAAGCTGTGTATTTTCAGTAGGTAATTCTTTGTGTTCAAAAGGTTAGTTAAAAGAAACAATGTTCTTTCATCCATATTCCCTCCTTGCATCCAACTCTTTCGCTGCATACTTTGATCACAATTTGAGTAAGATGCCTTGATGTTAATGTAAAAATTGGTGTCAGTACGAACACAAAGACTACTTTAGGAACGTGTCCTTATTCTGCTGTGTCACATCAAGCAGCCTTTTTCAGATAGGACACCTTCCATGTGTACATACACAGCCTGTGGTTTCTGTGAAGTCCTCGTGAAAGGTTTCGGGCTTCTATTACTGGAAGTCCCATGCTTGCTGATGGAACAGATTGATCAGTGAGGGAGAACTGTAGCTTTCTCTAACTACTGTAACAGAATGGGTTAGTTTTTATCCTGGAGGAGCCATTCCATATACATGTAGATAAAAAAGTCTCAGGATATGCTTCATTTTTGTTCTCCTTGAGAGTGCCAGTAGGAGGCTGTTTTATAGTGATGAATTTTATGATGTGGCAGCCACTAATTTTTATTTATTTTTTTTTAATACAAACTGCCTTACAGTTGCCATATGGGAACTTCTTGCAATCACTACAGTCCCTGGCTGCATTCACACCAATGACTTAGAGCTGTAGGGTTCCAGATTGTATTATCAATTGCCAGGTTGTGAAGGCAAACCTGGAAAACTTTCTGAGTGTAGGCTGAATTTAGTAGGGAAAAAGTCATATTGAAAAGATACTGTCAACTAATTTTAGATTTTAAGAGGTCGTTCTTACTGCCTTTTGCACTTATGAGGATTTATCCTTGATGGTGCCAGTGCATCAAAACAGAAACTGGCACCAAAGTAAGTCATTGAAATGGGTGAGACTGCACCCTTAGGTAAAGTTAACATGCCCAACTGATTGCAGGATCAGAGATGATAGTAATGTTAATGCTAAAAATTGAGTAAGTAAACTCAATATGAAACTCAGTATTACTTATTCATGAGTTTTGTTCCCTTTCGATTTAGACACATATTTTTTTAAAATTTGAAAAGGCAAAGGATAACTGGAAATAGTGTGGGAAATACTCTGTTGCCACTTCGGATGGGCACCATATACAGCACCAGGTTTCGTGACGCGTCCTGTAAGTCAGTGGATCAAAGTCATGCTCAGCTGAAATGAAGCCCTCGAGCAGAGGATCTCCTGCAAGGACTGCTAGCCCTGGCTTGTATCTGAGCCCCACAGCCCAGTGGGATACTGCTGTAGGGATCATCACTAAGTGCATCTAAGGCTGTGTTGACTGTTGTGGCCAAGACTGGGGTTTTGCTTCGATTTTTCTTGACTGTAGTGTTAGGTAATGTTACAGGGTATGGTTGGAGAGTGCCGAGGAAGCAAAACCTCAGACTGGAATCATTTCTGTATCAGCTTCTTGAGTACTCTTAGTTGTTGCATAGGAAAATAGATAACTTTTTTTGCTAACCTGACTGTATTTTATCTTTGTATTTTTGGAAGGCAAGTGCTTTTATAATAGTCTTATATGAGACAAATATCAGTATTGACTGCACCTATATCTTAAATGCTTACATAAATTTTGAATTCTAATGGTGCTACTGAACATCAAATAATTTGTCTTTCAAGTTGTTGCTTCAGGGGTATGAAAAACTTCTATGTCTTAAGATGTTTCTGTTAATGTTTCTGTGGCTTTCTTCACACCAGAGGTCTAGAGAAGTCTGGGAAAATGATTCTTTGGAACTGTTGAACCACCTTCTCAGTTCAGGTTTTAGGATCAGCTAAACTGATCCTAATAACAGGATCTGAATAACTTTATTTACTTCCACTGACAGTGAAGTTGAGTAAACACACCCAAGTTAAGTAAATCTTGGTAGATCAGGGCCTTTAACTTCATTTTGGACAAACTTTCAGGAGAATTTTGTGGCATTAATCAGACATTTAAAGTCAGTCTTCGTATTGGAAGACTGTGATTTACTGGGGTAAATTTCCTTTGTTTCCACATGCCCAAAGCATTTTGTAATCTTGCAAAACAGAGACAGCAATAGTATTTTATTCCTAATGTGAATGATGGAATCATAATGGAATAAATGCAGTCAGGTCTCATTTATGCTTACCAGGACTGACAGCCCTGTAGCAAAAGAAAGGTCAGACTGGAGGACTCTGTTTGTGTTCCAAATGTTTGCCCATAGTTCAGGCAAGCATTTTCATGGTGCATGTAAACTTCAGCTTCAGAAATAAAATACAGTATCTGGACTAAAGGTTTTGGAATTTTCGGACCTGCTTAATGCCCTCACACTTTTAAGGAAAGGCAGTGTTTGTGTGAGGTATTTAAAGAGTAATTAGAGGGTGCTATGGGTCTCTTGTGTATTGCAGTTGTATAGCATTATAACTGTTTTGGCAGTCAGCCAGGAAAAGAAGACTTGAAGCAAATTAATAGTGAACAATCCAGTTTTAATAAGTTATTTTAAGTATGGTTAGATAACAGAATTAATATTTATGCTTAAAATGTGACAAAGGAAAAACAGGCCTCAGTCGTTAAGTGTATCTTCTTGCTTTTCAAGAACATTTTACTGGAAACTCAAATCATGACTGGCACTTGTAACCACAGAAGAATAAAAGAAAAACTATCCAAAGTCCTTCTCTTCCTTTACATACTCTATCTGTTTCAGTTTGATCTTTACCAGCTTAATGTGTTGAACAGAAATACTATTTTCTCAGTAATAGTATACCCCAGAGTCCAGAAGCTAAAAGACTGAACCAAGGATAGCACAGCCACAGGCTTTCCTGATTCTTTGGCTCCCTTCCTGAGCATCCAGTATTGCCCAGCATCTCAGATGGTGGGAACCAGTGGTCTAACTCAGAAATGTTTGGGCTTTGTGGACTTCTGATCTGATTCATAACAGCTGGTCTTTCCATAGACTTAAGAGATACCTCAAAGATGAACAACACTTTTAAGGTTTTGTTTAAAGTACACTCCACTGAAAAATGAATATAGAATTAACACCTAGAAAATACTCATTTTCAAAGTACACATTTATCTGAAACTAACATTCATTTGCCAAACTGTAGGAAAGAAAACATTAGCAAAGATGAGATTGAGGAAGGAAATTTGAAAATAAA